GTAGTGATGACTAGCTCCTTTCCCTCTAGTCTTACACTGCTAAATTAGGGACAGCTTCCGCAGATAGCCCTCGTGTAGCTTTGCGCGAAATTCAAAAACAAACCAACCACCGTCAACTCTTGGGCTACTCTTTTTTACCAACGAAAAGTAGGTTTCACTGCAACATTGTAACGCCTACACATGAAAATTGTAAACCTAAAAAAATAATAATAACGAGGGCCTACTAAGTCCGGAAAACGAAACTCGCCGCTCAGAGAATAATTAGCGAGGCCCGACTAATGTCAATCTACAATGATCACTGGCCATGTTTACATTGTTTAGCACCCAGTAATGACCGATAATATAATATACTAAGAAATAAAACATATGCCTGTCAATGTAAGATTGTGTCCTCTCTAATCAACTATCCTACCGAAGCCATTGACATTTATGTGTAATATTACGAAGGTAAGCAGACGAAAAGGTGGAAAAAGAAGCACAAGCTTTTAAAACAAATCTTAGTAAACTGTTAAAAAGGAATTTACTCGTGTCAAATGGACTGCTGCTGCCTTATTTCCAAGGGATAAATTTTCTAATTTTTGCTGTAGCTGGTTTCCTATTTTTGTGATTGGCAAGTAAGCAGATGAAGAGTAAACTTAGTTATCTCACCCTGTAGGATTAAGTCGTGTAATGAGATTTTTAGAGAGGAGGTGTTAGTATTTGAATTTATTGTTATAAGCTGTAGTTTAAATTTTATAATTTGTTTATCGGGAGAGAGCCGCAGGTCGTAATGATAACATTAACATAAAGACCTAGAACGCCTAGCAAGTTCTAAAAGATTGAACGTCAGAGTGAACCTGATTTAGGGAGGATAATTAAAAAATAGTAAGTAAGCTTGCAGCGAAATATTGAAGCATCAAAATGATAGAGTTGTTTTATAGCTGGTAGAGTGAATCAATCAGTAATTTTATGTTTATGTATCTGTGTCAGCTATCGCGCATACCGAGTTATTTTGTACAAGTAAGTTGATTTTTACGTTAGTATGGTGCAAGTAACGTGACTGTAAGTGTGCGTCTACAACAATAAAACTAATTTGTTATTGTTACGTGGCTTGAACATTGAATTATTTTCACCATATAATTCAAAAGTATTAGTGTTAAGCATTACAACCCGATCTCAAGGAACGGTATAAACATTTGATAAGTTCAGAAATGGATTACATTTTTATAACAAATATTGGATCGGCAGTAAATAGAAAACTTCGCTTAACATTGTCGTAAAATAGAAAATTTCTAACTTAAAGAGATATTTGTATTTTTGCCCCAATGGCAAACATTTTCTATCTCTGCTAGTATCGAAAACTGATGCTCGGACATGGTTAAAATTGGAGAAATTATTAATTCTAGGAATAATATTATATGATGTAATACTGCTACAATTAAAACAATATAAGAAGAAAAAAATAACTGGTCAGAAATCCCCAAACAGCAAGTACACACTGTTTCGATATAGATTATAGGGGTATATTTATTACATTAGATAAACGGGGTCATAAATAATAATTCAATTTCACTTCACACAAAATTTTTAAATTTTTACAACCTGTAATTTCGAAAATACTTCCAATATGTTTTTTGTTTTTTTTTGTAATGCTTAATAACAAAGCAATACAAATTATTGAGAGTATGTACAGACGGTTTACACTAACACTAGTAACAGTTGACTAAATAAACATTCATTTTAAGTTTTTTCATATACTTTAGGCTTGTCTCGTCTCACCAGTTTCTAAAATTACATATCATCATCTATCCATATAAATCACAATGTGTTCTGTAAAATTAGCCTAATTTTCAATAACCTAAAAATTGATAATTTAAGTCATTAATTTTTTTTTTCAATCAGTCACATAGTGCTAGTTGCAAACCTAAGGTTATTAAACTTTTAAAGTTTAAACCAATAAGTTTAGGCTATTTATTAAAACAAAGATCACACAAAAAATTCGATAACATTTCATAATATATTTACAACAAATAATCTAGCATGAAACCATTTTTTTCTTACACTATAATTGATAATGGTGAAATTTACGGTTTTATCAAAGTACAACTGACAGTTTTCAATTTTAAAAGGAAAATTTCCTGTTATTCATACAACAATTTGTTAAGACACAATTATAAATTATCATATAACCTCAAAATATGCTGAGTTCAAGAATAAAGTTAATAGAGAAACACTAAAAACATACCAAAACTAAAGTGAACCTTCTTTCTAACTCATTTGGTTCCGGCATGGGCATTTTGATGTTGTAAACTCCAGACGATTTACTTTGCAACGAAAGCTGGTGATCAACAGTCGTCTGCAAACTTTCACTTTCAGAGTTTCCCATTTTAGGGTTCCAAAAAACAAACGAATAATTTTTACCCTGTTAAATTTCAGGTTACATTCTCATATATATATATATCTTTACATATCATAATTCAATCCAGTGAAACGTCCAGTTCTTATAGTTTATTGTTTCATACATTATCGTACTAAACCTAACCCAGTTAGCATCGTCAACGCTCTCTTTCGAGCATCGAGCCGCTGGGCAACTGTTAAGCCTACACATTAGCGCACACATTTCAATTGAAATACTACAACTTCGGAAAGTTTTTTCTCTGACGTCATTCATCAGGTGGCAGCACAAGCAAAAGGCAGTTTAATTGGATTATCTCATAACATTATAACACGACATACAATCACGAAGCGAGTACACGAAATGGTTGGAACAATAAAAATATCAAAAGTTTAAAATAGACATTTTTCAATTTATTTGCACGTTATTATTGACACAGGTTAGTAGAAAAAATTTGTGTACAAAGTTTGATGCAATTGTAGGCAAATTTTTCTGTCGAACTCTTGGATATGAAAGTTTTTGCGGATGAAGAATTAAGTATATATAGGCCAACAAGCATAGTTAATATGATTCTTGCTATAAGACATTCTAACAATTAGTTTAATTTTGCAAGCTCAGAATGGTTTATTTGTTTGTTTTTAAATGAAAAAATACTGTTTCTAAGCAGAATGAAATTATTTAGGCCCTATTTCCCGTGATTAAAAATAACGTAAATGAGTACGAGTATTACAAGAATATCCAGAACGTATTAGTACTAATTTATGAAGTAATATTTAGTTCCGATTTTAGACTTGAAACGTTCTCCTGTCAATTTTCAGTATCATCTCGTATGTTCGTGCTCTAGACAATATTTGTCATGAATACTTTATTGGTATTAGTGTATTTTTATTATTTGTATTACGTCGTATATGTATATATATTATGGTATTTCCGATAAGTAACATGACGTTATTTTGTGAATTATTTCTAGTAATAAATCGTTTAGATGTTGTATTTTACTGCAGTAAAAAATCTCTATTGATATTCTCTGTAATTATGTTTTACAAGATTGGTCAATAAATATCATTGTTGATGTAACTGATTCACTGATTAAGTTGAAAGTAACTCTAATCTGATTAATGTTATAGAAATAGAGTAAATAGAAATCCGAGAAATAAGAAAAGCTAATTACTACAAAACAAAGGATTCTAGCCAGCGAAGCGTTGCACATAGCAACCACAACCATATCTTATCCATAAAATCAAAACTTGAGAGAGAGAGCAAACGAAGATATAGATACTGAAACCAGTCGAGTCATGCGTCAGTGAGGTCAAGAAGAAATTTAGTGGGGATGTTTCCACTAGAAGACAGCAAGAGTATTCAGTGGATAGATGTCATTAAGTTAAACACAACGAAGATTGACAGCAAGATGGAAGGAGAATGAACATGGAATGGACATACGAGGTGAGATGGACACTGGTTATAGGGGGGACATGGACAAGAGCTGTTTGAATGGTCAGTGGCAAAATTGAGCAGTCTAGTTCAATAAAACAAAATGTGAAATACACGAGGAGAAAGTTGTATGGTTGGCCACTAATAGCAAAGATAATGACAGGATCACACTCCTAACAGAATCCCTAAACCTCGTCAGAAAAGTAGAGACAGGTTTTGTATAAAGAACATGGGTAAAACTTTTGAGAGAACTGAAGTCTCATTGATAATGACCAATATTCCAGGGTCAGGCTAAAGTGACATATCATTTAACATAGGCGTAGGGGCTTGATTTTAGCTGGGGGGTGGAGCAACTTTTGCCCGAAATTATAAAATCGACCTATAAGGTTTAAAGTCGCTTGAAATGGTTTCAATGACCTCCATGTCACGTGTGGGTAAAGTATTTTCTGAAAAGGCATAATCAATTTGCAAATATAAAAGTTATAGATACGTACGGAGCTTTTGCCCGAAAAACTACTTGGGCCAGAATTTTGGGGGCAATTGCCCCCTTGACCCCCCTACGCCTATGTCATTCAATGAGAGAGTGGAACTCCTATCTGACAAGCCACAGTCCTTGGGCAATCCGAGAAGACCTCCCTATGATATCGTCAATGAAACACTATATAGACTAACGAAACAGGAAAAGAACGAACAGAGATCATACACTGAAAGACTGTTGGAAAATATGTTGAAAGTATGGAAGCGAAGCGAGTGTGAATGTATGTGTAAAAGACAGATGTTCATTAATTCAAACTTAATTGGGCATCATTGCTAGAAGAACCTTGAAGAGATTATTGGAGGGAGGTGAGCCGGTGCCAAAACTCTTCAAGTGTAAAATAACAGTAGAATTATTATTCTTAACTTTGTTTAACTCAAACATGAGTTTAGTAAATAAATAGTTAATAAAATAACGACCTATATGTCCCGAATTTATCTTTATTAGCTCAATATTTTGCTATTATAGCTTCGTCAGCTACAAATGAATTTGTAGGATATCGATAGCTCCTGACGAAGGTGTAATAGCGAAATATTGAGCTAATAAAAGTACAATCTGGCGATATAGGTTGTCATTTTATTTACCTTAACAGTAAAATTAATCGTATTAAAATAGTCTTTCTTGTGTTAGGTGCCAGAATTAAAAAAATAATTATAATAAATGATACAATAAATAGAAAAACTGGAATACTTACATGTTATTAAATGGAATTTCTGTTTAGAAATGGACCTTGCAGTCAAAGAAATAAAACGTTAAGTGGACTGGACTTTTCATTTTAGCGAATAACCCAAAAGAACTCGCCCAACTATAGCAACCATTTGATGTTATAAGTTATTTGGTGTCTGAGACGAATTTAAAATGAGAGTGAGAATCAACCAAAATTCAATACAAAATAAGTAGTCACTAAGATATCTTAGTGACTACTTATTTTGTATTGAATTTTTGGTTCACTTTAAAGTAAGCAACCCGGGTTGCTTATTCTAAAGTGAACTCTTGGTTCAGTTAATACTGATATAATTTAAATAAATTAATAAACAAGCCTAAAGTAATGACATAGTGTGAGGTAACCTGTCCTAAAGCCAACGGCTTGAAAAAATTGATCATGAAAGTAAAAATATCTATCGAATTATAAACTTAAACCGCGTTATATCACCAAAGTTTTTAATAAAAACAAAGCTCTTTAATCAACTCTAAATTAAGAAATTAGCATTTTTTTAAGTTTTATAGTTTATATATTTCGTTTTATATTTTTAGCATATAGACTAATTACGAGATTAGGTTATAACTTTTGTTGCTAAGCGACATGATATAAAAAGCCATTGTTGGAACGCATTGTTACCAAAACGCACTGGCTTTTCTATATATTACTATTTTATTATGCTTCTTCTTTTTTGAGTCCTTTTAATTTCTAAATTCCAATTTTTATCACTTTAATACTTGCTTTTCTTCTTAAAACTGTTTATGGAACCACTTCAACAATGTTCCTTATAACAATATTTTTATTAACGTGCTCCACGCAGTACGCATATAATTTTGAATCTATTTATATTCTAACCCTTCAACGATACTGACTAAACCTTTTTTCTACGTAACACCGTTTAAACTGCCTGACGAAGGGCTTCTGCCCGAAACGTTGTAAATAATAATAAAGTTTTTGTAATAGACGTGTGTTTTACCTATCTTGAACACTATTTTCCCACGTCTTTCGGTCTTTTCTACCGTATACATTAGATGGAACCACTTCTTTTCTATGTGGTTTTTCGCTAGATTGCCCCATTAAAAAGATACGCACGAACGTGCGTGTCTGTCTGTCTGTCTGGGATTTATATCTATAATTTGATATATAAGGGACAACGTATTTTCCATATGGTTTTTCACTAGCTTGCCTCCTTAAAAAGATGCGCGTACGTACGTGGATAAGATAAGTAATAATACCCAGGTGTACACCTTCAAGGTCCACTTAGTATGGGTGTAAATTTTCAGGTTTATAGATTTTTTTCGTCTTGGAGCTATGATAGTCACATTTCTTTTTCTATTTGGTTTTTCGCATAAAAAGATGCGCATGCGTGCACGCACGTAGATAAGTAATAATACCTAGGTGTAAACCCTCAGGGTCCACTTGGCATGGGGGCAAAATTTCAGGTTTCTAGGTTCTTTTCTCTTGGAGCTATGGCGGTTGCCAGACACAGACAAGACACGCCCTGTTATTACTACACTATCGTTATATGTTTCCAAATTATGCCTTTCAAAACTACATATAACTTACTTTTTTTTACATTACTTTAATTCAAACATTTTATCTAATCACTTTGATTAACATAGATTTTCATAGATAATAAAAATAGGACTGCAGTATCTTAAATTTAGATTGATTAATCTAGGTTTTCAGTTTCTTAACCATAAATAACTTTTTTAAACCAAATAAAACTGTGAAGCATGCCTAAGCGACCGCTGAATTTGTAATATTTTTCTTTAGCTCACGTAACTTCTTAAACTTTAATTTATCACAGAGTCAACAATACTTATTGTGAATGTAAGTTTATATAGCTGGTCCTCTGTAAAAACGTAATAAACAAGTTATGAGTCTTGAAATTAATCATGAAAGTCATTTACGTAGAGTCTTCTTTATATAAATTGTATTCCTGTTTACGTAATTATTTTCTGTTCTAGATATTTCCACTTATTTAGGTTAAAATTTTGATTTCTTTTCGGATAATTCCAGCGCAACAAATACTAAAATAAAAAAGATTTACAGATTACTTTTGATTTCGTGATGATTCCAGAATACGTTACTCTCGTTCTCATAATACATGTACCAGTTTCTATTAGAAATAGCAGAATCGAAGATTTTATCAAGAATTATAACCCAAATCATTCTCGTGTTATCAGTCAGGGATGATTATGCAAAAAAAAGTAATAACGGAATATATTATGAGGAAGTCAGCAAAACTATTTTAAATTCTGTTAGGGTTGTTTACAAAAGTTTCATAAAAATTGATTTTTTTAAATAATTTTCATATTATGTTTAATCATCCTCGGATTAGAAAACCGTAACATATTTATTCATATAGGTCAGCAAATAATCTTAAAATACTTGGTTCTGTTACGACAGCAGAGGTCACGTGACCCTTGTAA